CTCCTGGTTTCAGGCAATTCTCCTGCCTCAGCCTCCTGAGTAGCTGGGATTACAGGCATGTGCCACCATGCCCAGCTAATTTTTTGTATTTTTAGTAGAGACGAGGTTTCACCATGTTGACCAGGATGGTCTCGATCTCTTGACCTCGTGATCCACCCGCCTCGGCCTCCCAAAGTGCTGGGATTACAGGCTTGAGCCACCGCGCCCGGCCTCCCTCAATTGTTTTTAGTAGCATACCTTTGAAGTAGATCTGATGTAAATTAGAACTCTGCCTTCAATATTTAGGTGGGAGATCTTCTACAAGTAACATAATTTCTCTGAGTTTCAGTTTCTTTATCCACAACATGGAAAATACCATCTAGGCCATAGGGTTCCTGTAAGAATTACACAGACACACACACACACACGCACGCACACATCTTTGCATAGTGCTGGGGACTTAGTAGGTCAGTCCTAGATCTGGTACAGCCCATCACCATACCTGGAGGTCCTGTCGCTCCCTTCCCTCTTTCCACAAATAATTATTAAGGATCTACCATGGCTGCATGTCATCCCATTTAATGTTCACGTCTGTTACTCTGGTGAACATTGGTTTCTCTGGCTACTTTGCTGCTCCCACCTGAATCACCATCCCTGTGCCCCTCTAAGTCCTCTCCAGCTCCAGCTTCACTTCCCTCATCTCTATCTTATTTAACCAATCTGTACAATACTTTGAGCTCTAGCACTAACTGTTGTGCTCAGGTAAGTCATTCAGGTCCATTTCAGAGAGTTCTCTGTAGAGTTTCATGGAATTGGTTCTAAACATTCGCTCATCACAAAAGTTTTTATTTGAGCAGTAATGTGCCCTCCTTAGGTGGAGCACATACTGGGACATGCACTTTATTGGTGTGCAGTTGATATATCCTTCAATGCTAAGAATGTGCTTTGTCTTATCCCACCTCCACCCTTTCTGCCCCAACTTCTCCTAACATCTTTTCCCAAGTATTAGAAAAAGCTCTGCCATTCTTTCCATCCCACATGAACAAATAGAACTATCTTTCTTTTTAACCCAGAGATTTCAGATATATTGCAGAACTGCTGAGCGAACAGTTCAATTCCTTCCCGGTCCTCCTGAAGATGCCTTCCTGCTTTATTTCTCTTAGATAAACAAACTATAATAAAAGATTCTATTGTATCGGCCAACTTTTCTGCCACTTGGGCTGTGAATGCAATGCCCCAGTATCTGGCCTCATGTAACTTTTTATGTTTGCATCTTTGTATTACTCTTTGTGGCTAAGAAACTTGCAAGATCTGACTCCACCTTGGTTAGTCAGTGAATAAGTTTTGCTGGTGTAATAAATAGCGTTCAAAAGATAATCTCCATTTCAGCAACAATACGGTATCTGCACATTCAATCAGATAGACCAGATAAGCCTCCCCTTGATGTTTTCTGTAGCAGCTAGGTAGAAGCTTTGAAATGGAGTTCTCTCATTCTCCCTGAAATAAATCCTTCATTTTTATGTGAATCTTTGTTCAAATCTGTTCTTTAAGAGGATTATATTTATTTCTGATAGGAATGCATTGACTATTTCCTTCTTTAAATTCAAAATCTTTGTTCAACTCTTCCTCTCTGGTTTGGAAAGAATAAACAAGCGTATTATTTTGGTCATACATCAAAATCCTATCAGCAGAAAATTATGGCATCTTCACACTGAACGTGTATCAGAAAAATTTTATTATGGAGTTTAAACAATGTGCTGCTGTCTCGTGTTGTGTGGTGCATAGGAGAGTTAACACTCTAAAAAGAAAAACATAAAAGCAAACATATTTGCATCACACCCTCTCAACTACAAACCTGACCACAAGTGTTTGCACCTGAATCACAGGCGAGGATTATGAGAGTTCACCCAGTTCTTCCCATGCACAGTCTTGCACACTTAATTGCTTTACAGCAAAGCATACATTTTTTTTAAAATTTTGCTAAATGTCATTGAAATCACCAGGCAGCTTTTAAATCAAGTCATGCCACTTGTTTTTAAAAAAACTTTTGAGCCTTCATGACAGAGTAAACTTTTCAGAAGCCTGAGCTTGCTGGCTTTTATTTTTAGCTGTAACCTCTGAACTTTTTACTACTACTCATTTAAAGTGATTAGAACCTTCTTCTAGGAAGGATTTGCAAAACAAAAGTCACCCAAGTACAGATGGCTCAGCTGGAGATAATACATTTACATCCTAAATGGGGTGCCCTTGAACTTACATCCCACTTCAGGTGTTCCCTTTATCCATTACATGTTTTCTTTTTTTCCCCCACAAATTGGTTTGGTCCCTTTCCTTCCATCTAAACATCACATTATTGTGTTGTATCTTTTATATTGTTGCTTCTATTTCCTTTTTCCCACATGTCTTTTTTGTCTTATTTTTCTTTTCTTTTTCCCTACTTAGAATACATTCAGCACATTTCCATTCTATAGAGTTAGTTTTTATGTGTTATACTAGTATTCTTTAAGCACCTCCTCCTGAAAAATCCACATTATCTTTTAAAAATATTAGGGGCCAGGTGCGGTGGCTCACACCTGCAATCCCAGCACTTTGGGAGGCCGAGGCAGGTGGATCATGAGGTCAGGAGTTCAAGACCAGCCTGACCAATATGGTGGAACTCCATCTCTACTAAAAATACAAAAATTAGCCAGGCATGGTGGTGGGCACCTGTAATCCCAGCTACTGAGGAGGCTGGAGCAGGGAATTCCTTGAACTCAGGAGGCAGAGGTTGCAGTGAGCCAAGATGAGCCACTGCACTCCAACCTGGGCGACAGAGCAAGACTCCATCTAAAAAATAAAAAAATTAGTCTGTTTGGGAATTATATTTACTCCATACCTACTTTTTCTTGTTCTTATTAAGCAATGACATCCTTCACTTTTGTTTTCAATTTTTTGGCTTTTTTTCTCTTTTCTTTCAAATTAATGCTCAGTTGGTGACTGTCCTTTTTTCAAAGGTGAGATTTTAGTAATCTCATTTCAAATCAAGCATTACTTATAAATATTTTAACTTTAAAATATCATACCATCTTAATACCAGCCTATTCTCAACTAACTCTAATGAAACTTCCTGACTCAAATGAGCACAATTAAATTCTGGTTTGTTATATAATATGTATTTAGAATGTATGTATAATATTAATAACAAACTGTCATTTTAAAATGTTTTTACAGAAATTATATCATTTAGCTCTGACATGTACTCTGTGGTGTAGGCATTATTGTCCCTACTTCATGGATTGAGAACCAGAGTTTTAAAGTAATTTGCATGTTGTCACAGGGCCAATGCATGGCAAAACTGGTTCCAAATCCATGTCTTCTGATTCTTAACCCTGGATTTGTTTCATCATACATCAGGCTACCGTTTGACTAAATTCTTGTGCATCTACTTTAATTCCAGGCAAATCTGAAAAATAATTAGCGGCCTGAGTGTAAACATTTTCTTCACATAGAAGGAAATCAACATATACTTTGTATCATGCCTTATTTTTCAGTTTACAATTTCCTGGTCTATATTAACTAATTTTTCTTTATATGCTTATTGATATTATTTACATTTCTCACGGTTTTTGATTTTGCTGCACTTGTGGCTACTATGCAGTATGTTTTAGACCTCTCTAGGCTTCTCCCAGCATTTGTGTGCACTCGTATTCACCAGACTAGTATGAAAGTAGTTGAAAGGCTGGGTGCGGTGGCTCACGCCTGTAATCCCAGCACTTTGGGAGGTCGAGGCAGGCAGATCACAAGGCCAGGAGTTTGAAACCAGCCTGGCCAGAATGGCAAAACCCTGTCTCTACTAAAAATACAAAATTTAATCAGGCTTGGTGGCACATGCCTGTAATCCCAGCTACTCAGGAGGCTGAGGCAGGAGAATCACTTGAACCTGGGAGGCGGAGGTTGCAATAAGCCAAGATCGTGCCACTGCACTCCAGCCTGGGCAACAGAGGGAGACTCCAAAAAAAAAAAAAAAAGAAAGAAAGAAAGAAAGAAAGTAGTTGAAAATAACTGCATCTTTTATATGCAGTTCATGGTAGAACATTTCCTCTGGCCTGAAGTATTCCACTGACATATTTCATATGGAATATATTCATCACTTTTGGTCTCATAGCAGCTTAGTGCATATGCAATGCAAAATCTTCCCTCATTTAGTCCTTCACAGAATTCTTCCAGACACATTGACATGTGACATGTCCATTTCATCCTCCAATATGATCATTTTCATAAATTGTTCCACTAATGTTTCTTTAACAGTTAATAACCTTTCTGGAGAATAACTCAACTTTGTTGCACATAAATTTAACTAAAATAATTTTCATAGTTGTTTGGTGACTTACTCAATTATTTGAAAATGTTATTACTAGCTCCTTACTAACAGGGTATTTTTCATATATTCAAGTTGAAAGACCATCATTTGGTCATAATTGTCTCTCAGTTATTGTCAGAGTTAGATAATAGTGGTCTTTATTTTTACGTGAATAACTCTTTTGCAAGGTTTTGGGTTTTATTTAATGGCAGGTTGAAAAATAAGCCATTCAAATATAATAAGCATTGTACTGTGTATATGCATCTAGTTCAACAGCAAAGAAAATTTATTGATGAATGGATAATACAGAATTTTCCATAATATTGATGTTAAGACTCTACCCTGAATATTCCTTAATTTTTCTCAATAATTCATTATGAATCCATTGCCTCCACTAAAAAAAAAATCTCAAAACTGTATTTTTAAAGTATCTTTTGGTTTCTTATATTTAACCTAGAAGTAAACATACTTTTATTTGGCTTTGAACTACCACATTCAAGGATTAAGAGTGAGCTCCTTACTGAGATTCATCACATAGTTGTTTTTTTTTTCAATGATTTTATTGTCCTTCAACATACCTCTGGTGAGTTTTTTCCTGGTAGACCAAACAAATTTTTTTTTTTTTTAGAAGATGTCCTACTGTTTTGGATAATTTTAGAGCCTGTGTTGTAACTTTTTCCAGGTCTCTTCTTCCTAGGACCCTCATTTCTCCTTGCCACTGCTTTGTACCATGTGGATGAAATGGAGTCATGATCAGAGTAACTTCCGTAATATGATTTTTATGCCGTTACTCATGCCAAGAAATGTTAAAAGTAGATAGACAGACAGATGATAGATAGATAGACAGACAGACAGGCAGATAGAAAAAAGTCTATTGATTTTTTTTCATTTTTGGTAAGGAAGAAAAGCCTATTCAAAGCACATGAGCAAAGATAAAAACATGTGGTGTTTCATGGAACCCAGAGGCAGAAAGTACGCGATGCAGTGCAATGGACTGGCGCCACATGGGAGGCAGGAAGGAAGGTTTCAGCTCTCTCAGCTTAGTGTTTTCTGTGCATAAAACCACCATCCATCCAGGCTGTACATCGTCTCTAAGCTGTACTGGTTCCATCCTAAAAGACCAGGAAAGTTGCCTGGTTTCTCTTCAAATCGTATAAATCTTTCTTTCTTGGTAATTTGGTAAAAGGCAAATCTGATTGGCCTAAGAAGAAACCTTTAACCCTACTTCAATCAGAGGTGGCCTGATGGCCTTGGTCAAAGATATTAACTGACATTGAGGCTAAACTCCCCTCAGAACACCCTGTAGAATATTTAATGAAGGTATGTCAACATTCCTTTTAACTTGTCTATTTTGAATATCTTTCAGATAAAATGTACAGGTACTCCAATGACTACATTCCCAGGTATGTTGAGATTGAGTCATGTATCATGATTCCCAACTAATAAGTGAAAGTAACAATGCTATATTGCTTATAGATATGGCTCATGGATGTTGTACTTAGGTACAAATAAAATAAAAAGTGAGTTTTAATTATTTCTATTCTCATCTAACGATTAGAAGCTATAATATCTGTCCTAGTTATTTGCACACTGTGAGTCAGTGAGAGTTGGTTGAAGGATAAAGTGAGACTCTAACCTGGTATCTGTAGAACTCTCATTCATTTCAAAAGCAGATATCTTAGATTATGATCCAGCTTAGATACAGAATTCAAAATCTATAGCAGAAAAAAATCTGGCAATCCAATACAATTTAAGATACGTATATACATCGATATATACAGGGAGGCTTAGCACTCTGCTATTTGTAAAGATAATGTCAATCAGTAGGGAAATGTGATAAACAGATTCTCTGAAAGAATATGCAGTTATAGATATAACTTATTCTCTTTAATAGTTACTGAGCTAGTTGCAAATAAATTTGTATAGTAGTATACATTTTTTTAAAAAAAGCATTTATGGCATAAATTATAGTAAATAAATTTTACTTTTTTTGGATAGTATATTCTGATCCTGATGTGTCAATGTATTGGAGATTTCTGTTTTAGGAGTAAAAAAAAATTCTAAATAAAGAGAATTTCCTAGAGGGCTCTTCAAGATCTTTCTGAAATGGTAGACTGAAAGGTCTCTGAAAAACACAGAGCTTTTTTCTCACTGGGTAGAATAAGATTATAAGCCTTTCTGGTCTTTTTTTTTTTTTTTTTTTTTTTTTTTTTTTTTTTTTTTTTTNTTTGAGACAGAGTTTTGCTCTTGTTACCCAGGCTGGAGTGCAATGGCAAGATCTCGGCTCACCGCAACCTCCGCCTCCTGGGTTCAAGCAATGCTCCTGCCTCAGCCTCCTGAGTAGCTGGGACTACAGGCATGCACCACCATGCCCAGCTAATTTTTTGTAGTTTTAGTAGAGATGGGGTTTCACCATGTTGACCAGGATGATCTCGATCTCTTAACCTTGTGATCCACCTACCTTGGCCTCCCAAAGTGCTGGGATTATAGGCATGAGCCACCACATCTGGCCGCCTTTTTGGTCTCTTAAAGTTTTTTTAAAAAACCAAATTCTTTTTCCATATGAAAACTTCTTGAGCAAGTATAAGATCTAGGCTACAGGCACACCCTCACACACAAAACCTTTGTTTATATGACCACTCTTAACATTGGATTCTTTAACATTAGATAATTTTCAAGTCATTAGCTTATATCAAGAGTGATTTGCTTATTGCTCTCTTTTTTAACACATAATGATGAAGAAAATCCTATATAACCACGCAATAAAAGCTAATATCTTTGATGATCTGTTTAATACTTGTAATTTGAAGGGCAATTAAGATGGAATGTAATAGAAAGTCTTGTGTAATAGAAAGTCTTGATCATTGAACTAAATTAGGTTGGTGGTTTGGGGATTAGGATGGGAGGAATGAGAGGAAAAATTGCTAAGATAGCTGCCTCGAAGCAGTCAGGCTCTTAGCTGTAGAGCAAATGTAAGAAAGAGGCTTTTATAACATTTATTCACTCAATAAATATTCACTTAACAAACAGGCACTGTGCTAGACAATTGCAAAATATGTTTGCTGAATACCAATCCCAAGGAACGATGTAAGATAGCAAAGATCGTTACTATGCCAACTACCAAGAAGAGGCGTCCGAGCACTTCAGCCCGCTCTATCTTGGGCTGTACATTTACTACTTGCCTGAGTCTGATGAGAGAAATCACACAAAGAATGAGTTACATAAAGTGAGTTTATTACCGACAGATACGCAGCAAAGGACAACCAACGTCTAAGATTCATTAGGAGCTAATTCCCCACGGCTCAGGAAAGCTGCCCAAGGTGGACAGAAACTCATCTTCCTGTTCCCCACCTGCCCTGCAGCTGAAGGACCCCAGAAAGCAGCCCACCTTTGGGTTTGTCCCTGAGGGGCAACATGATATGCTGGGCTAACGCACTGAAGGATGTCCTGTTTCTGTGAGACTGGAATAAAGCCTACGCTGTTCCGGCCAGTTCTTCTTTATCCCTGAATGTTGCATTTCCAGCACATTCTACAGTTATTCTTAAAAATTACAAGTGAGAAAGAAAGTACTCGTTGGTGCAAAGTCACCCAGAGAACTGTCCTTCAACAACAAAGATACAAAGATGGAAAGGCAAAAATCTTTCCCTTAAGGATTTATAATCTATTGTCTATTGTAACAAATCTCTAGTTAGCCAAAATTTGAATATACAGTGCAGATTTTTTTTCTGTAAAAAAGGATTGATATTTTAATCTTTAATCTGCAAGTGTATGTATATAGTTTATATTTTGTCTATTTCTCTTGATTATGTGGTTTGGGAACCAAAAATCACTTTTGTAAAGGGGCATGGAAGCTTCACAAACAAATAAGCAAACTAAAAACTATCTCAATCCATTAAACATTAAAACAGAGCAAGTGAAAATAAGGTCTAGGTTTCATAGGCAGGGCTTGCATTACTGATGCCTCTTCAGTTCCAACATGGTTTGTGGCCCGACAGATAGGAAGTAAACTTCCATCACACTGAGTTCTCTGCTGCACTCTCTCCCCACTCCTATTCAATACTGGCTTATGCTGGAAGGGAAGGAAATTGCTTCTCTCCTCTTATTTCTGTGTTCCCAAATCCCTGCCCTTCCTGCAACAGTAGGTCAGAAACATGATCACTTTAAGGAGAACACAGCATCTAAATCTAACAGAACGTCAAATGCACACTTTCTGGTATTTATCCTTGGGTCACTTTATTTTTCATTTAAAACAGAATTCTTGTCTTTTGGTTTGTGTTAGGAGGATAATACTGTGAGACTATCATGGATTTGAGATCCAGGCAATTCTAGATTTTAAACAGACTTGCAATTAGTAGATTCGTAGTCTTGGGGAAATGAGCATTGGTGAACTTTGCTTTTATCATTTCAAGAATAAGGCTTATAATATAAAATGTTATTTACAGAGCGAAATTGGTTAAAAAGCTACTGCTTTATTGAATAAAAACCAATGTCTCTGAAAATTCCTGCCCACTTGCAGTATGTTCACACCCTAATTCAAGAAAGCAGCTCGGGTTTACAATTACATTAACCTTATCATGACTCCTCAGTTTTCAGAGTCTCTCTCAAAAAGCTTAGGATACATTTCCAGCAGCTTTTCATGAACTGCTTCTGGGAGACACTGGAGGTGCTTTAATCATAAAACATTCATTCAGCTCAGCCATTCTACTTTTGGGTCATTTCTTGAATTTCTGGAGCTCTGCAGGGTGAGGATCTTCCTCATTTCCCTTCTTTGCTAACTATGCACCTAAATGTAACTACGGCCCTGTGCAGATCTTTAGTCTCATCTGTCCTCTTGACCTGTTCTCAAGGTTGAGAATCCTTATGAAAACACAACTCTTGGGTCCCCTTCCCTGACATCCCAGACTTCCAAGTGGCTATGCAGGTGAGGCCTTCACTAGACCCAGTGCCACCTGTGTAAATGTAGAGACACTTTGTCTCTACATCTTCCAACCTCCTGTTTGTTTTAATGTACAAATAATCATAACCCAAGCCCCAACCCTGTATAACTGCAAGAAATCTCATCCATTTCCTAAGTAATTCTCAGAATCTTGGGGTTCTCCAAGCCTTATTCTTGGCGGCCCCCTTGTCACCTCTAGCTCTGTCACTGCTCTTGGAGTCCCTGTCATTTTAGAAATCTTCATGCTGGCTGTTCTTTCTGGTATTCTTTCTGCCAAACTTTGAGAAAAGACCCTTTTGAAGTGATCTACAGCACAGGCAATGTGTGCTCATTGTTCTTAATAGACTTTACAAAGAAATGAGCATATGAGAGAGGCACCTGAACACTGATCAACAGAATGAGAAAATTAATGTTAGATATCATGGCTCTGGGCATCCATTAACCATCACTTCACAGAAGACATTGCTGGATTCACTTCTCAGCGTCAGTCACACGAAATATTGCTAAGATTTAAACTCTTCCTCTGAATCAGGGCTCTCCATCTGGTGCCCTCCTATGTCAAGTTCAAGACATCTACCCCCATATCACAGCCGTGCTAGAGAAAGGGAAAATGTAATAAGCATATATGCATCACTCTAGCAACTTTTCCTTTTTTCTTCTACATTGTTACTTTTTCTATCCCTTTATATCATTCCCACCAATATATAAACAGACTCTACTGTTTATACCTTTAAAAAACCAACCACATCCTTGAAGCTTGATTGCCTTACAGCCACCTCTCCATTGCTCTTTTCTCTTTTACAATAAAACTTGAAAGGTCCATCTATATTCTGTCCATATTTGCTGGCTTTTCTTCCTCTTTTGCTCTTATTTCTTGAACCTACTCTATTCCATATATCCTCACTAATGCACTGACTCTGCTCTCGTCAAGGTTACCATGATCAAACCTCCGTTTCATCTTGCTGGGTCCCACTGCAGCATTTGACACCCCGACACTGTCTACTTGAAACGTTTGATCCTCTGGGCTCTGAGCCACCTCCCTCTTTGCTTTTCCTCTTCTCTTACCAGCAGCCACTTCTCCTTTGCTGGTTTCTGAATCTTAAACATCAGAGCGCCCAGGGACCCATTCCATAAATAATGTCGTATTTTTCAGGGCTTTAAACATTTACATGCCCACAGAGCCCAAACTTACATCTTTGCCTATTCAGAGTAACAACTGTGAAGCAAATCGGGTTAGCGATTATGAAAACCAATTTCTGATAGATCCCGAAACTTGCCCTTTCTTATATCTGGCAACTTCTCAGATCCTTAAAATAGATTTATTTAATTTTGTAAGAATGTCTTTCGATTTTATTTGGATGTTGGAATCCTGCATTTGTATCCTAGAACTTGAGAGCTGAACAGAACAATAGAAATCAACTAGTTTAATATTCTCATTCTTTAAGTAAGACAATCTAAACTTAGAGAATTTAAGTCCAAGGTGATCAAATAGAAGTAATTTTTTAAAATTTAAATTTAGTTATTTAAATGGACTTGGATCACAAACTACTTGAGGAACTTTTAAAAGATCTAATCAAATCATAAATGTAAATAAAAATGTAAAAAATAGGAACTAGAAAAAATATAAATGAAAGCACAAAATCTGGACCATAGTAATAAATTAACACATTTTTCTTAACTTTGGAGTGTCGGTAAATGTACTTATTGGTTAGAGAATCATTTCAGGTATGTTCAGAACAATGGAGAGTCTGATATGGCTCAAAACTCAGAAGTGCACTCACCTCTCAGATATGAGTTCAATTATTAATTTATTTTTAAATGTAATTAATCATCCACATAAAACACTGCCAAACATTTGCTCCTGAGGTTTATTACATATTTACAATAGGCTGGAGATATTTGGTATCGCCAAGAATATATTTTTAAATTTGTTTGTTAGGCGATTGGTCCTGAATAATAGTTTATTTGAGACGATTAATCATTTGAGATGGGTCTGTAGACATGAGCACTGCATTATAAATCACATGTTATTTTCATTCATAGGGAATGAAACTATTCATTTTTTAGAAGTGATTTATCATTTGCAAGTTGTATCTGCCATCTATGTGGGCTAGGAAAATGGATGGATTGTCTTATTAAAAATTCTTCACCTTTTGCTATTATATTCTTGGCATGGAGAAAAATCATGAGCAGGGACTACTTGGTATCCCAACATTAACTATATTGAATTATCATATGGAAAGAAAGGTTACAGATGGGTTCCTTTGTTATCAGATAAGTGAAGTGTATGCCCTTTTTTTTTTTTAAGAATACCCACTTAGTATTTACATATAGCGTGTCTTTTTTCAGTAGCATGGGGAGTAATTCATGTGTTATGCCTTGAGTTAAGAGTCCTTTTTCTTTTTCTTTTGATGCAATTCCCTCCAGCTCTCAGTGACATGTAATCTCAAAGTTAAAGCAGTTGGTACTGTTTTATGAAATGCCACTCTTACCACCTGATAAGTTTCCCAGTTCCCAGACTATCATTGTGAAATCTGGTCACTAGGGCCATCCTGACTCGTAGGATGACATTGGTAGAATGACGGTCTGGTGACAATGGTAGGATGTACACTGTAATCCTAACAGCATTACTCACATGAGGCTGGAAGGAACTTCAATCAGCTAGCAAGAGCAAAGAGCTGTGTATTCTTGTCAGTTCTCTTGACTTTGGGGTGGAACAGACATAGAACTGTGGTCGCTGTACAGTCTCCGGACTGTTTCCCTACAGCCTTTGAATTATATCACCCTCTGAATAGCTTCTTCATGATGTGGACTGAGCACAGGGCTTTATGACCAAACTTGCTGTATAATCCTAGCATTGCTGATTCTTCAAGGATCTAAAACCAGAAATACCATTTGACCCAGCAATCCCATTACCGGGTATATAACCAAAGAATTATAAATCATTCTACTATGAAGATACATGCACACATATGTTCATTGCAGCACTGTTCACCATAGCAAAGACTTGGAACCAACCCAAATGCCCATCAATGATAGACTGGATAAGGAAAATGTGGTACATATACACCATGAAATACCACGCAGCCATAAAAAAGATGAGTTCCTGTCCTTTGTAGAGACATGGATGACACTGGAAACCATCATCATCAGCAAACAGGAACAGAAAACCAAACACTGCATGTTTTCACTCATAAATGAGAGTCGAACAATGAGAACACATGGACACAGGAAGGGGAACATCACATAGTAGGGCCTGTTGTGGGGTGAAATTCCTAATGTAGATGACGGGTTGATGGGTACAGCAAACCACCATGGTATGTGTATACCTGTGTAACAAACCTTCATGTTCTGCACATGTATCTCAGAATTTAAAGTACAATAATAATAAAAAAAGAAAACCTAGCACTTCCAGTTACTGACTGTATCTCTGACAATGTCATTAACCTCTATGAGTTGCAAATACATTATATTCACAAGACAGATAAAAATGGGCATCTCATATTATTGTCTTGAGGGCTCAATGAGCACTGGCATAGAGAAAAGTTTTCATAATTGGTAAGTTATTGCTGATATTTGAGATAAGCCTAGGGAAGATAAATTAATCTAGCCGAATCTCAGGATTTTCCTGTGTAAAGCAGGGAACAAAACTACTACTTTTGGAGATTTTCTTCATGGGTTTTTGATGTAATGTCTATAAAACACATAACCCAGCATCTGGACATATTAGGTGATCAATCATTTTATCAGATCTCCTAACTTCAGTCTGTAATGCTTAGAAAACATGGTTTTAAGAGACTGTTTGGACTGATATTCTTGGTGGGTAAAGAGCCTGTACGTTGTACAATGAAAAGCATGGATTACCTGGGTTCTAATTCCAGCTGTGCTTTTTACTAGTCTAGTAAATTGAGCAAGTTATATAGCCTCTCTGTGCCTCAGATTCATTATCTATATAAAGGGGATGATATAGTACCTATGTTGGAATTGAGAGAATTAAATGAACAAACATGAAATATATTTGAGGTAGCACCTAATACACTGTACTATTGAATAAGTATTTGCTGTCATTATTCCCTGTAAGGTCCAAAAACCAACTTTTTAAATTTACACAAACACATGTACACATACATACATGCATGCATGTTCTCACTCGCATGAGAACACTTCTACCATGGTTGGTTAAGGCTAACCAAGAACAGGCAATAGTTCACTCAATATTGAATTTAGCTGAGAAATTAGTTATGAATTATGTGAAAAGTGGAATCTAATCAGGTAAATTACTTTTCCTTGTTACAGGGATGATGAGTATTATATTGAAGACACACCAATTTATGGTAACTTAGATGATATGATTTCAGGTAAGTTTTCCATAAATTACATTTATAAAAAAATAAAGTAATCCCACTTGGTTTAAAAAAATAACTTAAGTGGCATTTAAAAAAATCACAATCAGCCGGGCGCAGTGGCTCACGCCTGTAATCCCAGCACTTTGAAAGGCCGAGGCGGGTGGATCACGAGGTCAAGAGATCGAGACCATCCTGGTCAACATGGTGAAACCCCGTCTCTACTCAAACTACAAAAAATTAGCTGGGTATGGTGGCGCATGTCTGTAGTCCCAGCTACTCAGGAGGCTGAGGCAGGAGAATTGCCTGAACCCAGGAGGCGGAGGTTGCGGTGAGCCGAGATCGCGCCATTGCACTCCAGCCTGGGTAACGAGAGCGAAACTCCGTCTCAAAAAAAAAAAAATCACAATCACACTTAGATATCCAGTGGTAGCCATCAATTCAGGTACGTTCAGTATGTTAATTAGTCTCTATTTCCAAAGCTGCATATTGTAAGTTGTATTACAACAGCCTCTCTGAATCAACATCCTGTTTTTCTATATTCTCTTCATTTCACTTTAGTAGTGATGAGAATACAGGAAGACTATTACCATGAATTTTGACACACATCAAATGCTATGAAATAAAGCTATTTTTAGACCAGAAAGTGGTCCACAGAAGCAGTGCTTTGTGCTTGGTAAACAAAAGCAAATGTGTAGTGAATAACAGAACAATGAACAGTTTATTTGGTTTCCCATGTTTTAAATAGAGAATGTAGGGCTGAAATGATGGTAGGCGGGAGAAAGAGGAACTAAATTGATGCTGAGTGGTTTATATATTTATTTTGTTCTTAAGTGCTCTTCAATTCCCAGAATCCCTTATCACTGGTATCATCCCAGACACCTAAAAATAAAACACCCCTAAATTTCTCAAAACAGATAACCTTGGTCTGATCCTAGAGTTCTGATGATAGAAACTGCCACCCTTTGCCTGCAAGTACTCATTCAATACATCAGAGAGAACTAGGGTTAATTACTGTTGAACTCCAAGTTTTGAACACAGAGACATCCAGTAATATCCTAAATTGATCTAAATATCTATATATTACAACAGTATAGAAATGTGAGAATCACATAAAGCTAGAAATGTGAGAATTTTCTTTTATATGATTTAATAATTTATTTTTATCTTTTCTTTCATTGTAGAGTGTCCTCTAGCGCTCTAAAGAATCAAAAATTATTTTTTGGAAACATATCCCCATTTCACTTCGCAAAATCATGTTGGCCATCTGTAATATTCAACTACTCAAATTCTTGTGTATTCTGGTGGCTCCAAACCCATCATACCCGTAACTTCCATACTTAAGTAAGCCCAGGTACCACTTGCACAGATTCTGATTTAGCAGGTCCAGGCTAAGGCTTCGGAATCTGCTACTTAACATCCCAGGTGATTTTGATGCAGATTTTCCATGGAACATGATTTGAGAAACACCACTCTACATACCCTTTTCCTGTTGCTTTTCAGAAAGGGCTCAATGATTATTAAGTTGCTTTGGTTATAGTAAATATATCTTTTTCTCTCTGAGGGTCAAAGTGGTACAGTCCACACTTCTGTCAAGTTACTGGCCATCCTATGAGTCACTATTTCTCTTTCTTCCTTTTAAATGGACCTATCTGGCGGAAGGCAGGTGTGAATGATTCAAAAGATATGGCCCTGCAGGATTAAATGAGCGCAGATCTGCTGGCTGTTGGACACTAAACAAAACCCCCAAATACTAAAGGACCAGCATGGTGCAGCCCCAGACCCTTATGCAGTCTGGCTGAGACGTCCCGTCATTGATTGATGGTACAAGTTATAATCTAAAGCCTCTTTTTCAAAATTAGGATGCTGGACTTAAAATGCCTCTGAGTAAAACTCCTCACGTAAGGAATAAATTTCAAAATTGTCATCACTGATGTACGTGCAGTGTGCTTTGTGCCACCATGCACAATTTGCCGTCCATCTAAATGGAGAATACAGGCAATCCCTTAACCTGTGGGATCTCTGTAACATCCACATGGTAGTTTAAGACTGTCGTGTCCTACAATGGTGTAAGAAAATTCATGACTGACTTCTTATGCCAAGGACTTATCTTTTTCTTACTAATCCTGTAGCTCAAAAGACTTCACGGCCTGATCTGCAGGTCACAGTTTGGTCTTCCTTACCTCTTTCTATCTGCACCAAAGAGGCCAGTTAAGTGATTCTTGGGCAGTTTACATTTACAGCCAAATGTTGTTTGGATCATATGTTTTTATTCATACTAGATTTTTAAATTTTCTACTGTGAATTACAATCTTTTTAACTCCCAAGAACCAATGGATGAAAATTGCTATGAACAAATGAAAGCCCGACCAGAGAAATCTGTAAATGAGATGCAAGAAGCTACCCCATCTGCACAGGTGAGTTTTGTTTTCTGTTTCCACATTTGCATATTTCAAGAGCCTAATAGCAGTACATTATGATACACATCTGAAATAGCCTGTTCGAAATTTTGCCATCAATCAGGTGTCAAGTTCTAGGACCTGAGCTCTAATTCAGAGGCATATAAACAGAACTCAAACCATATTCAAAGAGTCAGAATTGTACACAATCACAAAGGCTATAGGTTTTAAGGGAATAATGAAATTATTCCTAAGTAATCTATTAAGTTTTTCCTCTGATTGAAAATTTTGTGTGTGTGTCACAGAGATAAATATAGAAGTTGACACATGGATAATGCTCACAAGACCTAAATGTCAGGAATTCAAAAGACAGAGCTGGGGTAGAGAGAGGGAGACCTTAGAGAGTTAATCAGAAAACCTAATAATAAAGTGAGCTCACAAATCCTAGAAAATTTGAGAAATACAAGTGTGAGCTTGCTCCTCTTCTCTTTCTGTCCAAATCTCTAATCTTTTCTTCCTATATCAGAAGCATCCTTTCTTCTTTCCAAAGCCAATGCTCTTATTCATGATCTTGACTGTTTCTCCTAACTCTTTTAGGATCTTGTACTTTCAAGTATTTCATTTTTCTCGTTTCCATTTTTTTAATGACTCAATACTATTTGCCTAACAATATGCAAAAATCCCTCCAGTATTTAAAAAAAAAAAAAAAAAAAAAAACTTACATCAACCTGTTTTTCTTTCTAATTTCTAAACTGATTCTTAGCTTCTTCCTCTATTGCTTGGATTTCTTTCGATAGATACACATTCCTTTACCCTGACTATGTGTTTTCCACTCATGCACTTAACTAACACCGCACTGTGGAAGTCTCCATTGGCTATGAAACATACGTACAACTTGTGGTCCCTTCTTAGGACTCGCGCTGTTTAACTCTGCAGCACTCAATAAAGTTGACCAACTGTTGACCACACATACGTTATTTGGAATGCTTTCAGATATAAATGAAGAAAGCACATTGAGATTAAATTAGAAATAACTTGACAGTATATGGCAGTGGGAAGAGACTAGAACACAGATCCAGTTAGGCAGCTATTATAATTTTTCCAGAAATGAGGCTATTAAGAATAAAAAAGCTAGACAAAAAGCAAAAAACAAAACAAACAAAAAACCCAACATGGTCAGGCATGGTGGCTCACGCCTATAATCCCATCTCTTTGGGAGGCTGAGGCAGGTGGATCACCTGATGTCAGGCCTGGCCAACTTGTTGAAACCCTGTCTCTACTGAAAATTAGCTGGGCATGGTGGTGGTGGCCTATAATCCCAGCTACTCGGGAGGCTGAGACAGAATGGCTTGAACCCGGGAGGTGGAGGTTGCAATGAGCGGAGATCGTATCACTGCACTCCAGCCTGGACAACAAGAGGGAAACTCTGTCTCAAAACACACACACACACACACACACACACACACACACACACGGTATAAATAGAACCATCTTTTCTATTCGGCAGAGCATATAAGACATTTCACTCTTAGCATGAAAACAAATGCCAATGGTGAGATGCTTACTTATTCATTAGAAATGAAATGTTAATCCAAATGTTGTTTCTTCACCCTTGTCCCTGAAAATCAATACAATTTTGGCCTAGTCTTAAAGAGTAATGCTTAATACATCCATCTTTGGTTTTTTCAATGGCTGTCTTAAGTTTTATTCTACACCTTTTAATAATTACAATGCTACCTTACTTTTGGACAGCAGTTAAAGCTTCCAAATACATTATCTCTGTTTACTAACCATACCAACACTATGATGATGATTCACATTTTCTAGGCAAGAAAATTGAGGCTCAGAATCGTTTTTAAAAACCTGCCAAGGCCCCATGCTCACTGTATGGCAGAGCTGGGATTCAGTCGTAGTCTTTCCAATGCCAAATTCAAGGTCTTGCATTTAGCATGTTGTTTCCCCTAGATAACCTAGTTTCCTGTGTTTCTCATTTTAGTATTGACCCAGCTCTAGTCCAGAGAAGCCCACTGGGCCGTCTTGGATGTGAATGGACATCTCCAAGGCCAACCTAAAATGAGCTCAAAAGGGATCTGGGGAAGACAGATAAGAAAACAATAGGAAAGATAAATTTAGTTATTTACCAGATATCTATAAGTGAATATTCTTATCTTTATACTTCCAAATCTTAAAAATGTAGAAAAATTGGGAGCTGTTGTGGTACGATTAAATGACCAATTAATAGGTACATGTAAAGTAGACCTGGTTTGTTCCTATTTTAATAAACTAGAGTATTGTTACTTGGTAGGAGAAACATAGGGCCAGAACTACCTTAGGTGGAAGGTAGGACAGGTAAGAATCAACCTAAAATGTTCATGTACAGTTAGAGTACAAGAAAGAAAGAAAAATCTAGGAAAAACTTTCGTCTAAGCACTTTTTCAACTCAACAATGTTGGTTGACTATCATTTTCTGTTTTTTGTTTTTTGTACTGAGATTTGACAAAACAAGGTAGATGAGGCCCAGAAAACAAGTTACTTGGTTTTCACAGGCCATAGAAATTTCTAGAAGTCTAGTTAAAGAACAAAGTAACAATGAGAAATTTACATCCCTTTCTTTTAGGCAACCAACGAAACACAGATGTGCTACGCCTCACTTGATCACAGCATTAAGGGGAAGCGCAGGAAGCCCAGGAAACAGAATGCCCATTTGTCAGACAAGGATGGAGATGAGCAATCACATCCAACGGATGCCAGCATTTCTAAGACCACCTTAGTAGACAATTTCTCCCCAGAAAGCCAGGCAGTAGAGGAGAACATTCATGATGATCCCATTAGACTGTTTGGATTGATCCGTGCTAAAAGAGAACCTATAAACTAGCTGGACCATGATCTAGCTCAATGATTTGCCTCCTGCTGAAGACGGTTGCTAAGAAAACAAGACCCACAGAGGACACAGAAGGACTTGGCAGCGGGATGATGGCCTGATTATCTGTTGATGAGATGGTGGCTTACCCCTTATTCAGAGCTTACACTTATACATGCCAAATGTAATGTCATGAAAACCAGTATTTCAAATAACTTAAAAAATGCTTCACTACTAAAATGTAAAAACTTAATGTGCTCATCTCAGCAACACATATGCTAAAAATTAATAAAATCCAGTTTGAAAATTGAGCCTGATAACAAAATTACAAATTCACAATACCTAATATTTAGGGAAATAAAAAAAATTTAGGCATGAATATATTCTGGAACACATTAGGAGAAAAAGCCAATGAGTTTTTTTTTTTTAATTCGCCTTTCTCACCAATGGGAAACACCCCATAATTGAAAGAAATTTCTGATTGAAAGGTATAAGAAATATTAAAATGCATTAATTACTAAGAGAAGTAATGTAATCTTTTTACAAGGTATTCTTCCCAAAGATAGCTTTACTATTTCAAAAATTGTCAAATTAATGCATGCTCTTGCAACAAAGAAATATCAAAAAGAGTTGAGAAATTCTACTAGTCAGAGACAATCACTTTGAGAAACTTACTATATATCCTTCTAAATATTTTTGAGATGCTTATGTGTATACATCAGTTTTTTTTTTTTAAACCAAAAACCTGGTTTATTTTGTACACATTACTTAAACTTTCCTCACTTAACAATATATTGTGGATTTATTTTCACTGTTATATTTAACTATATATAAATATACATCACAATTTTAATGTCTGCATAGCACCCCACTGATAAACAAATCAGAGTTTATTTAAATAATTCTAATGACTTTTAAAAACAATTTATTGATACAAAAAGCAAGGTTGAGATGACAATGTTTCTTTCAGTAATTAAAAAAACCATTGCTTCACTATCTTCTCACTTTGTTTCCGATGAAACATCTACTGTAATGTTTGTCTTTCTCCTTATGTGTGATATACATTATTTTTCTGATTAAGATTTTTCTTATTACTGGTTCTAATTTGATTGTAATGTGCCAAGGTATGGTTATTTTTCAAGTGTCTTGTGTTTGGAATTTGTTGAGCTTCTTAGATCTATATATTTATAGTTTTTATCAAATTTGGGGGAAAATGACCAATATTTTTTTCTGTGATCCTTCTTATTTTCAAGTTTTTCCATTACTTGCAGATGGTCCCACATTTTACTTATCTGTTTATTTCACTCTTTTTTGTATTTCATTTTAGATAGTTTTTCTTGCTATGTCTTCAAGTCTGTGAATCTTTTCTTCTAAATCATCTAATCTGCCATAATCCTAGACAGGACTTTTTAATCTCAGATAACTTAGTTTTTATTTCTATAAATTTAGTGTGGGTCTTTTGTCCCCCATCTTTCATGTCTCTAACATACTTAATCTCTCCTCTAACTTCTTCAATGGATGAATACAATGCTAACAATTGTTTTAATGCTTTTTAAAATATACGAATTCTATCATCTGTCACTCTGAGTTTCAACTGATTTATTTTTCTCATTGTGGGTTATATTTTTCTGTCTCTTTAAATGCCTTATGATTTTTGATTGGGCAGAAAACATCGTAAATTTTCCTTTGATTGGACATGCATATCTTGGTATTCCCATAAATGTTTTTGAGCTATGTTTTTAGCTAGTTACATAGCTAACTGAAAACCATCAAGTTACTTGAACACAATTTGATCATTTAGAATCTTGCTTTTAAATTTTGTTAGTTTATAAGCTGCTCTGGCTTAGTCTAAGTTAAATTTAGTTTATTACTGAGGAAAGTCCCTCGTTGGTACCACTGTTCATGAATTATGAGGTTTTCCACTTCAGCTGTTGAAAACACACTATTCCCTGTCATGTCTGAGTCATCAGCACTGTTTTCTTTATTCTTTTCAGGTGGATTTTCCCCCAAGTTTGGGTAGTTTTCAGACTTGCATGCACTAACCAGTATTGAACTGAACACTTGAGGGCAATTCTTCAAGTACCTCCAGAGTTTTCTCTACATGCAGCTCTCTTCTCTCCAGTACTCTGCCTGTTTGACGTCTCTTGACCTGGAGCTCCATCTCCAAGAGATCGGTGGACTTTTACCTAGGTTTCCTCTACCTGCTCCAAGGCCTGAAACTTTCCTCCAGGCAGTAAGATAGGGTGATAAGAGGGTTTACCTCATTTGTTTCCCATCTTTCAGGGACCCTTGTCCTGCATTGCCTGAAACAGTATGTCAGGTGCCATTGTTTCATCTACTTTGTCAGGATTTTTGGTTGTTTCAGCCAGCAGAATATGTTCAGGTAGGAGGGTAAATCTAAGATGTTATTCTGTCTTGGCCAGAAGCAGAAATCCAAGGCATTCTTACCCCTTTACTGTAATTCTATAGTATATTTTTAGTGAAATTTAGTATAATTCCATAACCTAACCAGTACTATTTGAGATGTTCATAAGCTATGAATTACTGATCATGTAATTATTAAGGACTACATATACATCCCCTGGGGCAGTTCTCAGGACTTATGTTCCAGAAGGAATACAGGATGAATATCTCTCAGTAAAAGTATTTGAACCAGAAGTGTTTCTGATTTTTAAATTTTTGAATATTCATATGTAATGAGGTATCTGAGGGATGGGACTTAAGTCTAAACAGAAAATTAATTTATGTTTATATATACATAGCTTGAGGGTCATTTTATGTAATATTTGTAAATAATTTTGTGTATTCATCACATAATGTCAGATGTGGAATTTTCCACTTCTGAAGTCATGGCAGTCAAAAAGTTTTCCGTTTTGGAACATTTTGAAATTTGGATTTTCAGTTTATGGATCCTCAGCCTGTATCATTATAAGCCTTAACATTTCAACTGAAAAAAAAAAAAAACGTGTACAGAGGAAAAGGAAAACAGAATTTATTACTAGAAAACAGATGAATTCCAAGTCCTGAAATTTTCACTGACAATGTTTTAAAGTTTCAAGAAGTTGAACTCAAAATCTCAAGAATAGAAGGGATAACTCATTTCCTTTTGGTATTAAATGGCTTATTTCTGGCAAAGCAAAGTGTGGGTGATTAGTTTAGACATATGCTTTAAATCTTCCTCTGAGGTTTTGTCATTTGATTAACAGGACAATTTATATTAACACAGAAAAACAGCACATTGACAGAAAGGAACAGGATAGAATGTAAATTCAACAGAGGTACACTTCTAGATGCTGTCTGCCGTTCCTTTAACCTCTTCTGAGGGGCTCTTCACTCACTCACAGCTTCTACTGCCCAGGAAGTCATGGCTGACTGAATCAAGGGTGGGACCTGAATCAAGACAGTAGATTCTCTTTTTGAGTTTCAATAAAACTTTATTTACAAAAACAATCAGTCCAGATGTAGCCTAAGGCCATAGTTGGCTGACGCCTGGCAAGATCACTTGTTTCGCTAGTGGCTTGCAAAATGATATTCTAGTCCTGTTATTCCTACTTCATTTATTAGTTGGAATATATTTTAAGAAGAAGACAATAGATTCCTCTGTGAACCAATCTAGATACAAGAGACTGGATAGTGATCAGAACCAAAAAAAATGCCATAGATAGAAGTGGAGCTTTGAAAAGCAGGATACAAATACAAGGGAGAAGAAACTAAGAGTAAGATGGCAGAGACTGGAGTTCAAAGTTCCATAACTAATCAGACTAACCACATAATCATGACAATGACAAGTTACATGTATTGAGAACTTACCAAATGTAAGACACTGTAACAAGTGCTTACCTGCATACTTAATTTGATCACACAACACCCTAAAAGATAGATGCTATTAAGTCCTAATCTTAAAGATGAAGAAACCAAGACTAATAAAAAGTAACTTGCCTGATGTCACACAAATAAACTGTAGGTTCAGGATTTGAATATAGGTAGTCTAAGTCTAGATTTTACTCTGTAGAATAGCTGATTTCTAGAGTCACGTTTAAGCACTCTTAGGCCCTATTTTTTTTTTTTCTTTTTCTTTTTCTTTGGGACGGAGTTTCGCTCTTGTTACCCAGGCTGGAGTGCAATGGCGCGATCTCGGCTCACCGCAACCTCCGCCTCCTGGGTTCAGGCATTTCTCCTGCCTCAGCCTCCTGAGTAGCTGGGATTACAGGCACGTGCCACCATGCCC